TCCGTCATCGGAGTCTGCCCCTTTCACGCGTGCTGCCCTCGATGGGGTCGACGTCTGCCGGCTTTTCGGGAGCATAGCAGGCGAAGAAAGAGCCGCCCCACAGTCCGCGGTCCAGCCGGTGATACGTAGCATGCGGTGTGGCTGATGAAGATACGGAGGCCGACGAGGGATGGCATTGGAGATCGCGTACGCATACGCGGCAGTGTCGAGGCGCGCGAAGGTGGCGATCTGAGAGCGCGACCTGCACGAGGTACGGCGCGAGCGGGACGTGGCGCCGCCGCCGCCACGGTAGTTTGACCTTGCACACGAAGGGCAGGGGGCGGAGGACGAGCAGCAAAGGCGCGCACATCAGGAAAAACCCAAATCCATAATGAGACGTTACTGAGGCTTGTAAGGGCTAATGAGCTGGATTATCACGTTATTCAGAAGTATTCTTTTTCGCTTACCCCTCTGCTAATGAGAGACCATTACATGGAGAATGAAGAATTAGTCACGAGGGTAGGCCCTCACCAGATGCACTTAGTCTCACTCATGCCCGTATATCACTCCTTCAGGTACTGGATATCGAGTAGTAGCACTCATCACACATAAAATATAGCGCAATTATGAATATGAATTCAACGTCTGACACACAGACCAGACCAGTATCTAGCGACAGCGACATAGATGTACCTATCAGCGGGGGATGATGGCGCAATGTAAACGGAACCAGGTGCTGTAGGTGCGTGCATAGAGACAGAGAACTTCGCGCGGTCTGAGTAGAGTTCATTGAACGTGTGGACCTCCTTCGCGAGGTATGGTCCGTTGGGCGCGCGCACGAATACGGGGTGCGCACCGCTCACGCCTAGGAACACATACGAGCACTCACGCCCGCCGCCGCCGCCACCGCAACCAACGTGCACGCACACGGGCGGCCCTTTCAAGCTTTTCGCTCACCGCCCATCCGCCAGTCCTCTCGCGGACCATGTCGAGCGCGCCACCCACGACGGCGTCGGCGTGCAGTCAGCGAGCACGCACCCGGTCCCGCTCGAGGGTACATTTGTCGTCTCCAGGGTCGACGACCTGCCCTCTGCTGTCCCTGGCGCAGGGGCGGGGGGCGGGGGCTCGTCTGTGCGACGTACCTGCGGAGGACACTGGTGTGGCTGTCACGCCACCCGCTGGCGGGACGCCGACACTGACGAGAACGAGGGGGTCGTCCCAGGGGCCGATGCGGCCTTGGAGCACGTACTTGCGCCAAGCCTGCGCGTATCCCACGGGGAAGTTCCTGTGTGTGCGTGAGGGCACGCGCGGGGGAGAAAATGGGTCAGCAAAGGAGAGGCAACGGAGGAAAATACGCTACCTCGTCAATGACGAAGATGCTTGTGATCCCAAAGCATGTCCACTCGGTGACCGTCCGTCAGACTCGCCGCGCGGGTCGGCGGGCTGGTTTGTCGTCTCCGCTCAAGAAAGGAACTGGCGTGGGCGCACCAAAATCGTCGTGCGTTCATCCCTCGTCCTCTTCAATCCAGGGCCGTCTGGGTCTTTGCCGGGCACGAGATAGCAGACGAAAGTGGACACACGCCGCTGGCTGCAGCGGCGGCACAAGCCCACGGTGAGTGGGGACACGGGCAGGGGATTGCGACTGAGGCACTCACAGATTCCCGAGATATCGGAGGAACGGGAGGTGGGTGGACCGCCGTCACGGTCGAAGATGGGTTGGCCTCGGGTGGAGGACTGGGTGTCGCAAGGAGCGTGACCAGTTGCATCAGTAATTCACAAGATCCCTGGATCTCTCAGATCTCTGACACATCTCGTATGAGAACTTTCAGACAAGTTAGAGGTGACCAGACGTCTCAGACAGATTTCAGACAATTTAGATGTCCGGTGTCGGCAGTGGCACACAAGAACGAGAGGGTGCGAGAATGAGATATATTATGACCGATTCTAGTAACATCCAGAGCAATCTACACAACAAGGCATACTAGATGAGGTCGTACGTCAGGGAACCCCGAACCACGCGCACTCTGTGTTATGCAGGGCGAACAACGACGGGCAGTTGAGCATGGACGTCCACGCGGACACCACGCACGCCCCCATGGCCCCGCGAAGTCCCCCAGCTCACTCTCGTCCTTCACACCGTCGTCGTGCCCATTGAACACCTACTGCCCCTCGTCGACACAGACTGATGACGCGGGCGCAACGCGTGGGCGAGGTGGTGACGCGGGCGCGACGTGTGGTCGAGGTGGTGACGTGGGCAAGGTGGGTAACGCGGGCAACACAGAGGGATGCGCGTGGGCGACGTGGGCGAGGCAAACAGCGTGGTGATGTGGGTGAAATGGCGACATGAAAGACGCGATTCCGACGTGTGTGACGCAGGCGCGACGTGGTTGACAAGCGTAAGGTGGCGACACAATCGAGGCAAGTGACGTGGGTGCCAGTTGTCAATCTCTCGGTCGGTGCAACATTGAGCGGAAAGCTGCTCACCGTGTGGCGTATAGTGCTGCTCGTCGTCGACCTTGACGAGCTCATCCTGCAACAACAAGGGGGGTAAGTTATGTGCGTACGAGTTCACGAACGCCCGCTGGCAGTGGTGAGCGTGGAGGTGGAGGGTCTGGAGACTGGCTCAGCGCGTAGTCCGATGGCGCAACGGGGAATTGCATCATACGGCAGTGAAGGGAAAACAGGAGTGGTGTATGGTGTGGAAGAGGGGGAAGACATTGAAACAGAACAAGCCCACTCACGACTAGGGTGCCCACTGTAGTGCGGAGGCGCTTGGCCCTGACCTTCAAGAGCGCGCTGGCAGGCCCCTCGAGCTGGCGGGAGGGCTGCATCTCCTGCTTGAGCCCAGGGACGCGGATCAGCGGCGGGGAGATCGCGACAGCCTGCCCGGGGTCACACTAGCGAGGTGAGCGAGGCAGCAACACTTGACATGGCAATGCGGGCGAGGGTGAGGAGGGCGACATCGTGTGGGATAGACAAGCATGGGGGCGTGTGCAATTACAGGCTGGAGACGGCAGCAGGGAGGATGGAAGGCATAGTGCGGAGGGGAGGACGACGAGGACGAGAACGAGAACGATGAAGACGAGGATGAGGACGAAGTGCGACGCCCAGAGCGTACGTGCTGGCAGCGTCTAGCGTGGGAATCTCGGCCTCTGCTCAGGCGGACTTTGCCAGCGCAGCATGCTCCCGTTTACCACCAGCTCTCGTCCTCCTTGGCCACGCTCCGCGCGAAGAGCACCCGTACCTCACGTTATTGCAATCAATTGATCTGCCATCACCCCCCTGGGCTGATACTAGTTCCGGCGACTGCGAATGCCTATTCCCCTGCCACTAGTAGACCCTCTACGAATAACGCTTGATATTCCCTGAGAGGAAACGGTAAAACGGGGGCTTATGCGCAAGTCCCCTGCCCCTGTCCCCGACGTCCCCGAGGGCCCGGCCCAGCCTCCCCTGCGCTCTCCCGGACCACGTGAGCGGCTTCCCGTGCCGCGCTCCCTGATGGCCGCCCCCACTGGTGTCTCCCCTCGCGCCGCCCGTCCGTGATGGCCGCCCGCGCCCCCGTGCTCGCCGTCGGGGACGGCGAGCTCGTTGTTTCCCTTGCCCCTCCCCCTCCCCTTGTCCGATTCGCTCCGTTGTTTTTTGTATGTACTTGTATTAAGAATGCGCATCTATTTACACAAATCACTAGCTAGACACGCTCTCTGTGATGCCCTCACCGCCCGCCACCGCCCGCCACCGCCCGCCGCTCCCGCATATGGGGAGGGCGGGACATTATGTCAGCATACTGAACGCCTTGGCGGGAGGCGGGACTCTGATGGTGCGGGCGCCGCATGGACAGGAACCGCGGGAATGATTGATGCGCTGCGTGGGCGCCGCGCCATCAGCGCGAGGGCGCCGGCGCCGGGCACCGGGCGCTGCAGACTCAACGCCTCGTAGTGATGGCTGTGGAGCGCCAAAGTGATTAGATGCATAACAACCAGCTTACAAAACATCTCCCCCCCCTCCCTCTCTCCTGAAACTCTCTGTGCACCTACAGACAATAGTATTGTATCACACCACAGAACAGTGATTGGGGTAGAGATGCTTCTTCCTCTGTTCCACCATCAAAGTGGCTGAAGCCATCACTCATCCAGGTATAATGATTGAAGCACGCGCTATCAGTCCTTGGCAAGAATGACATAGATGTATTACTAAGGGCTCAACTCCGAGCGACAGCAGCTAAGACACATAAAACATGAGCGTGTTATGTACTATACTATAGAGGAGCCAGTAATAAAAAGAAGTAGGTATTGTTCAAAGTTCATTGTTCTCGTTGTTGGGCCCCACAGCACGTTCAGCAGCCCTGCGCGCGAGGGTCTTAGCGGTAGGACCGCGTGGCACGCCCTTGTCTTTGCGAGGCTTGCGGGGCGGCTTCTGCGGGATGACGGCGCCGCCGCCCGCAAAGTGGTTGAAGAAGGGGTCGGGAGCGGCACCGAGAGGACGCTCTGAGCCGGACGAAGCAGGTGCATAAGACCCGGGCGTGGCATTGAACACGAAGGTGAATGCGGGTGCGGGTGGACCAGACAGCGCGCCGGGCGGACCAGGGAGCACAGGCGGGGCAGAGGACGTGGGCGTGGGGATACCGAGGAGCTCAGGTGGGGTGTGGGACGCGGATGCGGGCGGGCCAGGGAGCGTGGGCGATGCGGAGGATGTGGGCGCGGGTGGGGGGTAAGACGCGGGCGCGGGCGTACCAGGGGGCTCGGGCGGGGCATGGGATGCAGGCGTGGGCGGGCCAGGGGGAGCGGGCGGGCGTAGGACGCGGGCGCGGGCAGGCCAGGGGGCGCGGGCGGGGCGTAGGACGCGGGCGCAGGTGTACCAGAGAGCTCGGGCGGGGCGTAGGACGCGGGCGCGGGCGTACCAGGGAGCGCAGGTGAGGTGTGGCGCACGGGAGTGGGGGAGGATGCCGGCGCGGAGGTGGGTGTGATGACTTGCTCACTGAATGTAACAGCCATTGGGCTGAGGTGCGCGTCGTAAGCCTCACGCCAGGCCGTGAACTCCTCGTCGGTGAGGAGTCGGAACGCCGTCGTCCCCCCCTCCCAGGCTGAATAGAGCGTGTTGAGGTACTTGAGGGAGTTGAACCGGCCAGGGGCTTGGAACACTTCGACGGGCCAGTTCTCAAGGACGACGCCATATTTGAGCGTGATCCTGTTTGCAAAGTCGAGGTAAGACATCGCCGAGGGCTTACCCCGCGTCGACGTCGCGTCTGGAGGATAGCTGTGAGCATGTAGACTAAATGAGGGAGCATGGACTTACGGAGCTTCTCGAGTATGAGAGTACCGACCTTCGACTTAAGCTCCAAGACCGTGTTCTTGTGTTTCTTTGTCAAGCCTGTGCGACCACGCTATGAATGTGGGAGAAGGCGACTATAAATATGCGTGTGCGTACCTTTGATACCAGTGAGACACCATGCTTCGATGCGCGCAGCGAGCTTGCCCAACGTCGCGCCACTGAACAGCTCCACGAATTCCTCAAGTCGCTCGCTGGTCCGGTACACCCAAGGCTTGAGGTGATTGGCCTGGTCGCCGCGGCACGCGAAGAGCAAGACCTCCACGCCGGTGCGCTCGTGGAGATCATTGAGCTGCGGCACAGGTAGATGTCAGCAGGAGGCAGATGGGGGTAAATGGGGCGTCGCACCTCTTTGGCGACATCCTGGAGTGTGGCGCGAGTATCGTTGAAATTTGCGACGGCGAGGTTAGGCACTGGACGCCCCCGCTCCTCGCGCCGCTCGTTCAGTTCCTCGACCTTGTCGCGAGAGACATCTTCGCGCTCTTCATTGGACATCGCAGCCCAGCGCTCGGCGAGGGTCTTGATGAACCCAGACGACACACGGTCATTGGTGTTCAGGTCTGATAGATCGGCGTTAGTTATGGCAGCGTGTGTGCGAGATACGGCATACCTTGGTTGTGGGCGCAAAGCTCTTGGCTGACGAACGCATTCCACAGTGAGAGGGCGCGTGGCTCCTTGAAACGGATGTTGCTCTGGTGGAGGATGAGGCGGTAGTACCACGCCGCGCTGTGCTTGCCCAGGTCTTCGTGGAGCGATACAGCGTGGTCCCATACCTCATCCCGGATGGCGTCGAGCCTGTTGTTGAGCGTCTGCTTGTAGACCTTCGACTTCTCACGCAGTGCCTTCTTCTCCGCATAAGACAGCTTCGCGCGTGGTCGACGCGAGGCCCACGGTATCTTGACGCTTCTTTTACCCACCTTGCGCGTGGATTGAGGTAACTTCTTGATACCATCATGGCCGTTGAGCGCGGGGGCGTCTGCTCGGGCGCGTGCCATGACAGGAGCGCGCGATGAGAAGCGGAGGGAGGGCGGGAAAAGAAGCGAGGTGTGGGAGTGGGGGATCTGGGAGCTGGGAGAGACTGTCAGCAGGGCAAAAAAAACACCACGGAACGTTGTTGACTAGAGCACGTGATGATATGAGTAAAACCATTCATCCCATTGTTACTCATCGTTATCGAAAGGATACAAGATAGCATCATATAGACGCTCTAGACTCGCGCCGTCCCAGCGAGGGTGCTTGGACGCGTCGTAAGCGAACTCCTTCCGCGAAGCTGCACCCGCGAAGACCTGCAAAAGGTACATAAGTTCTGAGTCGTCCGGGTTAAGCTCCTTGAGGATGGGCTTCGCCCTTGACCCGAGGTCAACTGCGAAGGGATGGGCGTCCGCGGCGGCTTGCTCAGGGGGAATGAATAGCAGCCGGATAGCGGCGGCGAGCACACCTGAGCCCTCGACATCCTCAGTCCAGGGCGCGCATGGGACCACGCGGTCCTGTAGGCTCGTACCCTGTTGAAAGGCTGTGAATGGTGAGTCAGTGAGTCCATTGTGATGCCAATACATGGAATGTCATACCATGTGCGAGCGCGTCGCCGGAAGGGGGCAGCGCTTGCTCGCGCTGCTTCCCGCGCGACAGGGCAGGAGTTGCCCACTGGACGGAACTTCTGCTCGGGGTCGCCGGAGTGCTGTGGGGAGGCGCGCGGCGTACGGGAGTACAGAGCAGAGCGGGAGCTGGGACGAGGCGGAGCGGGGCTGGGATGATGGGCAAGTCGAGGTCGATGTCGAGGGGGAAGTTGTGCCCGGTTTTCATAACCATATACGCGATGGCGCTGGCCACGGACAGACCCTTCTTGTCGAATCGCTTGTACCGGCATGAGTATTGCTTGATGTGCCGTTCGCCCTCTCCGATTTGAAAGCCGATGTGAGCCCTGAGGATTCTGTCAATACAATCCATGGGACATGCGATAGCGACTTACCAAGTGACCCCAATGAAAACACCGGTATGTCTGCCTTCTAGCGCGGCACGGACACTGTAGATCCGCTCGCCGCGCAGCGATATGTTGGCTTCTTGTACACGCCACACGGCAAGATGGACGTCATGAGCCGCGGTTTGATAAAAGACCGTCGCGTTGAGAGCGTCGATGGCCTCCGCGTCGTCGCGGTGCATGCAGCACACTACGATCGGGTAGATGGCGGGATCTTGCCCTAAGCCCACCTGTGGCCTGTACGATGTTGGTGAGCATATGACGGGTGTGAGAGAGCAGTGAGAATCTACCGAGTGCGCGTGATGCGCGGCGACACTCTGCGTGTGTCCGGCCCCAGAAGCACGTACCAAGGACCGGAAGACGCCGCCGGGTCAGATAGCAGCGGGTTATGCATGCTTCGGGGCGGGAGAGCGGACGGGGAGGGGTGATCGATGCGGAGAAGGAGGAGCTACGCGGAGAGGCGCCCATGCTTCTCACCTGTCATCTCACGCGAATCCTGATCTTCGGATGCTTTACAGGTCCTCCCTGGCATCCGGTGAGAAATCTGCCAACACGCATGTATTTGTCATGCATCTCGGCACACAGGCCGGGTATTTGATGCCCCTGATTATGCTTGCAATAGTATAGCATACTGCGAGGCATGATTGCATGCAAAGCCTCACGGTTTCCTTGCTTCGGGTGTGCACCAAACGTCCTTACGATGTCCTGGGACTGGTATAGTAACATTGACATTGAAATAACACATGGAACGTCCTATATACACATTATACGTTGTATACCATTCATTTGGACGTGTCAAAATACCGTACATAGGTGTGGAATTATGTTTTTGTCTTGGAAACAGCTCGTTCAAACGGGCGCTAGAAGCCCCCAGAGCCGATCTACGCTACTGAGCTACGAAGTCGAGCAGAGCGCTCTGCTGCGCCTGCATATCGTCATCGTACATACTCTCCGGGCTCACATCTGTCTCGATCGCGCTGTCATCGGGGGAAATGCGTGGAATGGATGGCTCCGGAGGGGGAGCTCTGCCCTCACGGCGGCCCGGCGTCTTCTCGCCCTCGAAGCGAGGATCATTATGCAATTCATTGAGGAATGCCAGGTTGTACCCATTGGCGGCCTCGCGGTGGCGAACGAACTCCATAGTCGGCCCATAAAGGATGTCGTTGGTCTCTTTGAGCTGCTCAAGAAGCGTGGCGAAGTCTTGCTCTTCGTCGCGAATGTGCGTGTGGAGGCGGCGCGCATCGCGATAGATGATCTGGATCTCCTCTCGGGCGCGTTGCAAGCGCCGCCAGGTCCCGATCGCCTCCCGGACTTCCGGACGCGCCCAGACTTTGCCGCTGACGTCATTCCATGATCCGTGCAGAAGTGCAAACTCCCGAATGAACGAGTAATGCGAGATCTGAGTCCAGTCAACGAGTGGCTTCTGCACCGTGACGGCGGCCCTGTTGTACGTCGCGATAGCACGTCGGATTGCAGCTGACCGTTTCTGCATGTTCTTCGCGATGTGAGTCCGCATCTTGTAGCCTTAGTCATGCGCTTTTGTCAGCGCTTGGTCAAATGATTACATGATAACCCACCTGTCTGCGCGAGATGAAGCTTATGTAGCTCGAACAAGCGTTGAATCACAAGGCGTTGAAGCCTTCCCAGGGCCTGCTGATAGCGTCGTGTTGACATGTACACCTTCGCCGTGGTGTAGCGCGGATCGGTGGGCAGCCATCGCGTCATGCCCCAGGTGTCCTCGATCTCGGCTAATTCTTGATCGAGGGCGTCGATCCGCTCGCGGAGCACGCGGTTCGCGCTCTCCGTTCTCCGCGTCTCTCTTACGTGGGCGTTATAGTCTGTGATCGGACCAGTGTACGGTGCCTGGAACAAAAGCCCGGGGCCGTCGGAAGATGCAGAGCCGCCGGTACCCGCGCGCGCGTTCCCAGGGGGCGCGAGTGGCGGAGCTTCGCGCGGCGGCTGCTGCCCGAGCATGAACTCGCGCGTCGCAGGGTTGCGCGTCGCGCGCTTTGTGGCCGCGCGAGTCTTCTGAGCATATTCATCCCTGCGCGCGCGTCAGAAGCAACCCGCGCCCTAACAAAACGTGACTCACTTCATCGCTCTAAGGTCCTCGAGGCGCTCAACATAGCTTTGTGCCCATTCGTCTTCCGGATTCTCATCGCGAAGCGTCGCGAAGTAGACGCGCTCGTCTTCCGCCGCCTCGATCAACTTCTCCTCGGTGAGATTGAGCTGGGGCAGAATGCTGGCCAAGAATGGCTCCGATTCTTCAATGATCTTCATTGCTTGGAGGAAGTTGTTGCGGAGGAATACCGCGAGATTAGTATACTTTTCTTCATCCCAGCGGCGGAAATAGAGCACAATCATTGCGTGCCGCCGATACTTGCTCGCGTAGCGGGTGATCGAGGCAAGCGCGTTTGATCCGCTGAAGATCCGCTCCATGGTTTCGAGATCCTCAATCCCGGCGCCGGCGGTAACATTCGGATGATGGTGGAGCTGGCAGACATAGGAGTGGGAATAACCGTGGAAAGCGTTCACAATGCACTGAGAGCCGCGCTTCTGGAACTCGGGACCAGCGCTGCTCCGGGCGAGGGTCCCCTGAAAGACGCAGCCAATGTCATAGCCGAGAAGGATGTTGCTGGGCAACTCAGTGTTTATTTTGTCGACCATCGCGATCCCGTACTTGGCGCTAAAGGTGATCGCTAAGTTTCCGAGCTCCACGGAGCCATCAAGACTTACAGTTCACCGCTCTGGATCATATCTGCAATCCAGAGGATCCTCCCATGCCTGCAGGCACTAGCAAAGATGCCAGTCTCGTCGAACCCACCCCATGCCTTCTTCTTTTCGTCCGCCGCTGCCGCCTTCCAGTTCGTAGCACACGGGCTCGGGGCACCCGGCTCCCCATCTGTGGGATCGCCTTCCGTCGCCACTGGCTCGCGGGCCGGCGCGGATTCGGCCGGGTCGTGGGTGATGTCGTCATCACCATCTTCTCCGAGATCCGCGGTCGGCTTCGGCTGTGCCTGCCGCGCAGGCACCTGATGCGCAAACTTGTCGACATATTGTGGGCTGAGAAAGTAGTTGTTCTTGTGTTGTCGCAGGTCTCCTCGGTCTTGATATTTGCGCATAAGTCTTTTCAAGGAGTTATTGCCGTCCTTACTGCCCATCCGGTTGTAGTGGAGGACCGGCTCTCCTTCCAGCTGCGTGAGAAGTCGTTAGCAGTCCGTCTGACGTCACCACGTGCCACCCGCATCAAATGGAGGATGCGTGCCTTGTATCCGCATGGTGGGCACCCGAAGCGCGGGCGCCAGTTCGGATCACCCCGTCCCAGCTTCTCCATGATCCCTAGCTCCACTTCATCGAGAACCTCCAGGTATATGTCAAACGCGTCCGCTAGCGCAGTGCGATAGTGGCGACGATATGCCATCTGTTCCAGGTATGTCAGACCAACTATTCCGCTGCGCTAGAGGAGCAACTTACATAGTACTTGTAGCAGACAAGCTTGGCAAACGCCTCGGTGCTGAATGATGGCTTTACGAGCTTCAGGCACCGGAACAGCTCGAGCGTCTGGAACGAGATCCCCATCGACGGCACCATCGGGGTGTTAGCGAGATATCCCGCGCAGGCGAGTGCCTCTACTGTCCACTGGTTGGATGACACAACCACGCTGACTTCCTTTTGCAGGGTGTACAAGTCGACACAGACGACTGTTTGTTGTTGCGGCGCCGCCTCTGTCTCAGAGGGAGTATCATCTTCGGGTGCTCTCCGCTTGCGTTCCTCTTGCGGGCGGGGATATCCGTACTTCCATTGTAGATATGCGGCCTTGATACGCGGGAATATCTGCTGCCAGTTGTCGTCCATCGTGCGGCGACGATCGCGCCAGGTACGCTCATCCGTGCGCACACTGTTTGGCATGTCAAGGATCTACGACCAGAGGGCATAATTAACATGCTCACCCCGATTGCAGATCATTTTCTAGAGCTGCACGGAACGCATCAACGTCCGGATCGTCCGCCCATGCAC